ACGATGGAGCCATATAACTTACATTTTCATTGAAACTTTCCTTAGCGGCTAAGAAATCTTTTGTTTCAACATGTACATCTGTATATGCAAAACTGCTATTAATAAATCATCTGCATTTTCTATTTAAAGTCTCAATCAAAAGGTGCATATCTGTATTGTTTTGGATACAGGTAGTCTGTTTAAATGCTTAATCTCCAATTGCAATCAAAACAATTTCAAAAATATTGCAATGTATAAACTGCTTTTGTTAGTTTGAGTTAGATGGAACGTATGCATGTACCACAGCTGAATATATAAATGAAAACATAATAAAGAAATGAAGTGGTGTATAGTTAAAATATATGATAACACACATACTTGCAAGAAGCTGTACACGAATTTGGGTATGTCTTTTTGTCCGCCCCGCATACTGGCTTCAGGCTGAATGGACAAGCACATGGTCGACATGGACAAGTGCCTTTGCACTTGGTTTTAACACCTCTGCAGAAAAGGTTATATACAATGCACATAATGTATAAAACATTGTCGTAGGGTACTGTAAATTAAATGTTTTTGATGTCACGATTTCATCAACCTCCAGTATATATATTTGAAATTCCGAAAACTGTAGACAACAACTAGATTGGTTTGTTATACCGTTTGATTTCCAAATCGTGTTAACTTTTTCCATAAGCCCCGTTTAAGAAATGCCTTCATATTTCACCGCAAATATATAGTTTCCAGTGGAAAACAATCCTTGTTATTGCTCAATGACACTTAGAGTTCAGATTTATTCATAAAGACATATTTCAATGATTTCTTAAAGCTTCAACAGAAATGCGGAAATGTCGCTTTAAATAACAGTTCTAACCTTACTTGTCTTAATTTTGACTCCTCCATTTTATTAATGAATTTTAGAAGTAAGATTCATAACAGATTTAAGTATCTTAACATGCATTGCTGCTTATTAACAAATATGTGCTAATATATGTTTGTACATATTGACATGGTGTACTTTAAGGAATCCTGAAGATATACCATTTATAGAGAAATTTATTGTAATCAATTGAAATATAATTTGATAATTTTGCAAGAAAAAGTAAGCTGTGGATGGCGGATTATAATGTTTCCGCATGACTATATTATCGCTGGTAATATTAGGTAATATTGATCTTGAGAGGTAAATTATTTGTCATTGTGTCTTATTATTTTTAAGACAATGGATTCTTATTGAAATAGAAGATAAATTATGTAAGAATCACAAAAGTTACTTAATACCGAATGTCAGGGAGAAAACTGAATCTTCGCTTATATTTTCATAAGCTGAAAACATTTATTTAGCACAATCGTAAAAATAGTTGTGATTGTAATACAATATTGCATTCAACTTGTTTCGGACATGGGTTTCTTTCTTTTGACATTGAAAACCATTGATAGTCTTAAAGGACAAAGTGGTCAAACGATGCAGTTGAATATTAGCTTCGACACAGATATGAAAATTTATTCTAGTCATTATTCAAAGATACATGATATTATTGCTGTAATTTAGACGTGTTCGAAGGATACTCATTTCGACAAAACATCAACAATAAATCTACTCACGCGCAATTGGCCATGCACCCGTTGCTGTAGGTTTTACCATTCGCCCCACATACTGGTTTGTAGTCCGCGGTACATATACAGTCGGGCTTACACGGGCATTTTCTATCGCACTTCACGGTGGCACCTCTGTGGATTTATTGAATAAGGTATTTTATTTCTGCAAAGCAAATCAGCTCATCAGGACACTCAAAACCAACCCACTTGTCCCTATATTTTTATACAGCATAAGTCATTTCCGTGGGTATCTTTTAAATGCTCTTTATTTCTATGTTGATCTGCATACGAACATGTAACATTTAAATTGACAAAGCCAAACTTTAATTGTTACAATCTCTTCCCCGAAATAAGAACAATCTAGACTATTTTTTACATATATACAATATCCTGCTTAGAGGCCTTATCTGAAGCTACCAACATACCGGAGTCCGTTCTTAACCTTAGACAGCCCATTCTGTTGATAATGAACCAGATATTCAATTCTTAAACTATTTTATGGGAAATTGCGCTAAATATGGAGAAATACAACAGGCATATCCGTGAGAGAGGGATATCAACCTACATCATTTCTCTCAAACATTTCTCTCTATGCAAGATTCAATCCTTTATTAAATGTACGCAGTTATTTACAGTTACTATGTAACACTTCAGCAAAGTATAAAGCGTGCATACCGTTGATTAGCCAAACATTTATTCTTATATGTCGTTCCATCGGTTCCGCACACAGGTAGTCCACGACATACTGGTTCTCCTGTCAAATGGACATATATACATCATATTGATCAGCACACTCATCACTTAACAATACATCTAGAGCCCTTTTAACGTCAAACAAACTGAAAAAATAAACTTCAATAAATTCAAAATACATAGTACAGGAGTAAAAGATCCCGTAATAAGACATGTGGTCGTACTTACGTCTTGACTGCACCTGGTCAATCTGTAAATAGCATGCGAGTACAAGAAGTATTGCTAGTGAAAACCTCATCTTGTACTGTTAGGTAACAGCTAATGTTAAGTTATTATATACTTGCCTGCTGCCACGTAGTTCGTATAATAGGGTTTTACATTAATCAAAGTTAATTTATTCAACGAGGATACAGCTTGCATTATGTGCACGCTTTCCTGGTAACTATTGTTTTTTTCCTCAGAACCCATTTTTAAATGACCAATGCGGGGCTTCAATGAGTGTTAAATTTACCTTTTGATGTCACTCAGTAATTTGTGGTGGAGACTAATTGTGTTTTGTAAATGTTTGTGACAGGTACAATGTTTATTAACCACTAAGGATAGCGACACCTGTGACAACGTCAGAGTTAGTTAACTGAATGCATTGTTTCCATGCAATAAAATTGATAAAACGCTACAGAGCTGTTTTGTGATCCTAACATTAATAATCTTTATTTAAAATATCCTAACGACAGAATTCCCCCGCCAATTCTAGGGATCTGTTAGTCGTCAGACATATTGATTACGTGTGTGTGTATAACCATAAATAATATCCATTTATGGCATTACTGTTACAATCATATGTGTCAGTCGTCCTCGATAAAGATTAAACGACATTTAACGACAAGTAGGTACCTGAGTAGCGCATACATTTTCAAGGAAACAGCGGAAGCAAAAACAGTTGGACATCGCTATGCTATTCAGACTTTTGATGTTACACATTCGAATCTTTTCAAACACGTGCATGTAGGTGAATTAGCTTTACTTCGGTAGGTAAAAAAAATAGTCATTTCCGTATTGGTGCTGCAATTGATAAGATTTTCATATCAATAATATGAAAAGGCAAAGCCTTAAAAGAGCGAAGTTTTTGTTGATTTCTGATATTTACTGATTCAGAATGAGATAATACTGCTTTCAGAATGAGGTTAGATAAAATGTATTTAAAGTCGGCTAGTCGAGGGATAACAATAAAACATAAACTTTAATGAGATTAAGACCGACATAACAATAGTGGAGATCGGGGCAAATTCTGTCCTTTTTTAAAGTCCGTTTGGGAATTATGGCAGCACGTCCGTTTTTGAACATTATTTAATTTTTCTCTGTCGGATGATCGGATGGCCGAACGAGCCCCGCCATGGGATACGTTCGGACAAGCATTCGGGTAAATTCGGCCCCATTGGAATCAGCTTAATTATGACGTTATAAAGCATGCAACGTCATATTTTACGACGATTTATGTGTGACATGGGCCGAACTTGCCATTAGAGTTTTCCTCGCCATATTTTCGTGTGAATGCCCAGCCAACTAAACTGCTAAGATCTTTAAAGTTGTAAATATTAGATCAAAAACAAAAATATCAGGGGTGACCGAACTTGCCCCGGTCTCCCTTATTTTTTGTATCGTTGATGATTGGTAAAAATGTATTCGCAATATAAATTTTGCATTAATGACGCCATTTTCAAACCTAACGTAGATATTTACGTATATGCTGGGTCGGGTGGCGCAGTGGATAGCGCGCTCGTCTTCACCAAGATGACCGGATTCAAACCCAGTTACCTGCCCGACCACGCGGGGTTTCTCCGGATACTCCGGCTTCCTCCCACATTAAGAATTAAATCCTCTGCGTGCTTCCGTCAGGTCACAAAAAGAATTATTGAAATTAGTTGGGGAAAAACTGTTTTGTAATTGCTATAGAACAAAGTGCATATTACATATTTGACGATAAGTCTATAAAAGTAAATGTATAGAGATGTTAGTTAAAAAAATGAAATTAAAAAAAAGGAAAACATTGTAATACTTTGATGTAACTGAAATTGTCGTTATATCGATATATAGTCTGAATTCCTGTTCCATCCTGAAATACCGGATTGAATTTCAAGTTTTGCAACTGTCACTGAGGTTTGACAGGTACAGTAAAGATGTCAAATAAAATTAAACAGTTTCTGTCTGTAACTAGTTATAAATCGGCATGCGTTGTGAAAAAGTGATACGTTGCTGAAAAATGTCATTGAACACGGGTTCGTTGGCTGGACAATTATTGTTGATTTCGACAGAAATGAATTATCCATTGTTTCTTTTTTGAGTGGTGATGCATACATAAAATATGTAAAGACTATAACCAGACTTTCAAAAATGTTAATTGTTTCGATGATATACACAACAAATCGAAATCGAAAGCTTTAAATAAATTAATGTACACGTTGACCTATTGGTTTAATGTGTCTTTTTTTTAAATTATCTCCCGATAGAAATTTTTACAGAACATGATTGATGACGAAAGGATCTTCAGAAAACATCTGCGTTTTCACTTTTTGTGCCTGTGGCAAAAACTGAAATTAAAAAGTCATGAAGCACCGGCAAAGAGATAAATGCAACGGCTATCAGATCCAAGATTTCCGGTTATTTTTTATCCTTCCGGAAATAACCGATGAAGGCCGACGCAGTAAGACGTGCTTGTGACATCATAGTAGGATTTTTTTTCACTCAGAATGCATATTATTTTTTAGCTAAATAATCAAGGAATAAAACAAGGGTATTGTTTTAACTATATGAAGATGTTCATGCATGGGTTGAAACACAATTGTCTTTGCTTCAAGGATACACTTCCTGTTTCCCCACTGGACGTCTACTTCCGGACGAAATATTTTAAAGGCAAGATATAGAAAGGGGAAGCAAGTCTGTATACGCACGCATGTGTTACCATTAAAGACCTTCGGCGCCCGAGAGCTACGCTCTTATTATCTTTTCTTAGATTTTTAATGATATTTATCTTTTTACTAACTCCTTTGAAAAAATAAATAATAAATTCTAACGAAGTCTGGATTTACAACTTATTCGAACTTGATGTCGATAGCCCTGGTCGAACAAAGAGTTTTATCTCTTTTTACTTAACTTGATTCGGTGTGTAAACATGCCCGTTATCAGAAAAAAACACTATTCCACGTAAAAAAAAATCGAGTCATCTATTGAAGCAAGCGGAAACAAAAGTCTTGTCAAAAACATACTATGTGATCATTACACTTAACCATTCATTGAAATGGCCTCTTAGTAACATTTCCCTCTTAAGTAAGATAGATGAAAAACAAAACAGATTATACAGAGTAAATGACTGATCTACAGGTGACTTGTTGGTAGATAATATCAGTTAATTCATAAATTTGAATTATTCCCAAAACTTAGCATTGGTAATGTTCATGTCAAAAAACAAAAGCCTATGGGTTAGAGAGCAGAATGTTTTTT